TGGCCCCTACTGTAAGTACCTCCGTTTTGTCTGGATTCAGCTTGAGTCAGTTTTTCCTCATCCAGTCCATTACCGCTTTGAGACATTGATTGAGGGGAGAACTGCCATTTGCTGTCATGGCAGCTGACAGAGACATGAAGAAATATATTTGGGTGTCATCAGCATATTGATAACATCCCACCCCATGTCTCCTGATGATCTCTCCTAGCGGCTTCATATAGATGCTAAACAACATTGGGGACAGGATGGTGCCCTGTGGAATGCCACATTTTAGCTCCATTTTTGAGGAGCAACTGTCCCCAAATGACACCCTCTGGAACCTGCTCAAGAGAAAGGAATGGAACCACTGAAGTACAGTGCTTCCGATTCCTAACTCTCTCAGGCGTTCCAAGAGGATGTCATGATCTATCGTATCAAAGGCCACTGAGAGGTCCAAAAGAACCAACTGGATCATGTTTTCCCTGTTGGTGCTAAGGCACAGGTCATCTACCAGAGTGACCATGGCAGTCTCCACCTCATATCCAGGTCTAAAGCCGGTTTGAAATGGATCTAGAAAATGGGTTTCATCCAAGATAAATTAGAGTTGAGAGGTGATGGCTCGCTCGACCACCTGGCTCAGAAATGGTAAGTGTGAAACTGGTCTGCAATTTTTCAAGTCCAGGGGGTCCAGGGAAGGTTTCTTCAGGAGCAGTCTAATGACCACCTCCTTTAGACTTGATGGAACAATTCCTTCCCTAAGGGATGCGTTGATGGCCTTCTTAAGAAAAGTCATCAAGGCATCACCCACCTGGACAACCATCCAAGAAGGGCAGGGATCGAGGGAGCACGTTGTCTTCCTCACTTTTCCAAGGATCTTGTCCACATCATCAGTACTCATCAGCTCAAACTGATCCAGTCTAATCTCACAAATGGGTTTCCTGGACGCCTCATCAGTCATTTCTGCTGTAATCCTGGCATCTAAGTCAGTTCTTATCTGAGAGATTTTATCTGTGAAATAGTTGTTAAAAATGTAACAACAGGCTGTTGTCAGGATAAGTAAGGGCTTCTGCACAGGGGGAGCCTGTGTCAGCTCCCTCACCACCCTAAACAGTTCTGCTGGATGAGATTTCACAAACATAATATGTGCAGAGGAGAAAGATTTCTGCGCTGCATGTATTGCCTCTCAATAGGAACGAAGAAAGTTCCTATGATGAGTCTTATCAGATAAGAGTTGAGTTTTCTGCCAGGTGTGCTCTAGCCATTGTCCAACCTGCTTCATATAACTAAGTTCCTCAGTGAACCAGGGTTGATGATTTGGAGTAGGTTGGATAGGACGCTTGGGAGCGATCGTGTCGATAGCCCTGGAAAGGTCGGTGTTCCAGGTATTAACCAGGGCTTCGACAGGATCACCGGGTTTACCAGCCAAGGAACCCTCCAAGGCTCTCTGGAATCCAACTGGTTCCATTAGCCTCTGAGGGTGGACCATTATAATAGGTCCTCCACCCCCGGTGGGATGAACAGCAGCTCTTAGTCCAACCCTGACCAGGAAATGATCCATCCATGACAGCGTGGAGGTATTTATTACATCCACCCACAGATATACCTGTTCCATACTAAAGACCACATTGAGGGTATGACCAGCAGAATGTGTTGGCCCAGAAACCAATTGGGATAGGCCCATGTCTGTCATGGAATCCATAAACTGCCAAGTCGCACCTGTCAAACTGGTCTCAAGCGGGATGTTGAGGTCACCCAGAACTAAAAGTCTGGGTGACTCCAGCAGCAACTCCAAGGCCAGCTGTGTCAGCTCAGATAGGGAGTCCATTAGGCAACGGGGTGGACGGTATACCAACAGAATCCCTATATTATCCCTAGCTTCCCCTTTCCACTGTATAAGAAACTACAGGAGAACATGATCACTTCCACCAAAGGATCCCACCACTTGCATCACACTGACCAGGCCATCCCTGTTGTTTAGGATTAGATCTAAAATAACTGATCCCCTTGTAGCCTCTTCCACCTTTCAGACAAAGAAATTGTCTTTGAGGCAAGTGAGGAATTTGCTAGACCTTGAAGTTTGACTTCCAGCAAATATCAGTTTGACTTCCAGCAAATATCAGGATAGTTGAAGTTACCCATCACTACTACATTTCTCCTTTCTGAGTGTATGATCATCTGTTCGGCGTCATCCAATTCCTCATTCTGATTTGGGGGTCTGTAGTAGACTCCCACTATAACATTCCTGTTGTTTCCTTCCCCTTTACTCTTTATCCAAATGATCTCCACCTGATTTCCAGGATTTAAGTCCTGGATCTCTTCACAG